CAGCTTGTGCTGGTGAAACAAGCAACTTTGGTACATTAGTGCAGAGCTTGTGGCTACATAAGAACTCGGGGGGGGGGGGGGGGGGGGGGGGGGGGGGGCGGGGGGGGGGGGGCAGAATTGAACCAGATTTCACAAAACTTAATTGAAATGTTTGTTTTTTAATCACTCACCTATACTTTTCTAATTAATAAAGTCAATGAGGCACATGATTGTTGCGTTTAGCTTTATGATTTTTTTAGATTTTCAGATTTGCTGCTGTTCTGTTGGTGGTGAGTTTAAAAGTATACAAATCGTATCCTGCTGGTTTAGATGACTTAACATGTTTCACTTCTTTTTTTAATTAAACAATTGTCTGTCAAAATACTATGCTTACTCCTACCAAAAGACTTCTAACCTGATTTGTTTAACTGCACATTTTCACCTTATAAAATCAGGACTTTTTAACTTTTAAAAGGTCCAAATTCATTGAGAAGACTCAGTTCAGTGTGTCACACACACAGTTCAACCCCCTAAGAAAATGTCCTCATGATCACTTATTGATTAACCAGCCGGGTTGGGGTCTTTTGCTTTGCATTGGACTTGTCTTGAATGTGACTCGTTGACCTGCAGGGCGCGGCGGTCACCGCTCATTGGGCTTGACACTGCTCAATGGTGACAGTGCTAATTGTCAACATCTGGGAAGTGCTTGCCATTTCTCAGTCCCAGCACAGACCGAAACGTGATGATCTGTCATAACATGTCAGAGTAAATTAGCATCAGCTAAATGTTGAGGGGTGGAAAAGGGAGGTGGAGGTTATCCCGCCGACATTATTAGGATCTTTTCTAAAGAGGGGAATGAGGGCAAAAGGCTGATAGAGGGATCATTGTCCCCCGCTGTATGAAGACGGATTCTGCATCTATTGTTAGTTCCTTTTACCGGCACTTGTGCTCCATTCTTCATGTTTTACCACCTCAACTTTTACAGCCCTTACAACTAGTATTTATGATACTGCTACCAGTGTGAAAGTGGCTACTAAAAATAATTAGAATCCACGGCCAACCATTCTCCACCACAATTAATAATACAGCTGTTTTAATGCTTCTGGATTTCACTATAACATCTTCCACTGCTGCTGGAAGTTAAACTACTGATGCTTCTAATGCCATTTATACCTTAACTGCTATCTGTAAAGTATACTACTATTTCAAGTAGCAACCTCATTCTAACGGCAACTGCATTTAATATTATTGTGTCCCAATCCCAGACGTTACTGGATTCGCCAGACCTCCCAACTTCATGTTCACTTGACACATGCTCACAGAAAATCACAAACACCACTGATGACAAAGTCTACCTAACTGAGGCGACCTCAACCCATGAGGTCAAGCTTTTATTGATTATCGGTCAAAGTCCTTCAGGAATGACATCAAACTTCTTAATGAAGAAGTTATCAGATAATCTAATTAAATGTTTAAAATATTGTGCTGTGAAGCGCCATTGGGGGTTGTACAATCCTAAGAACTACAAATATAGACCATTCACCATGATTATCCTGCTGTGCTTTAGATAGGAGAAGCCTTGAAATTCTAACTTCTTTGTTCAGATCCTCTGTCCCACTGGTGATCACCTGGGAGTTCTGGCTGACCTCCACTCAGCCACAAGTCAGGCAGCTTTAGAAAGAGTCCAGGTCAGAGTGACCAGAACCTCGCAGGGTGCTGACATGATGTCTCTACTTTTAGAGTCAGAAGGTACTTCTGAAACTCAGTCTTCATAAAAATGCTGCTTCTTTTTATTATGTTTGTCACATTTCCTAAAATTATACATTGACAAAATTGGAGCTTTAGTTTCTCAGGTAAATAAGATTTTTTACGTTTTGGTTGTTCATTCGTGAAAATAACTAAACTTCTGTAAAGATAGTCTATAGACAACCCAAACTATCACAACCCTTCTTATGGTGAAACTCAACTTCTGTTAGATTAGAATATAAGAAATGTAAAACGGTTAGACATTGGCTAGTGTTTAAGACTCGTAGGAACCTCAGGAAAGACACTCCTGAATCTATGCTTTAGAGAGAAGTAAAAAGTGTTAAAGGGCTTGTGCTTGAGACAAGACCACATTGATGTTTTTTATTTAATTTTTAGCTTGGACAAAATTAACTTTAAGAACACATCTTCCAAACGAGCTATTATGTATATTTCTGTTTTAAAATCATGTATTACAAAGTGAGTTTGACTGTTTCTATTAACATTAGGGCTGCACGATATTAGGAAAACCTGCGATATTCGATAACAGTGCTTAATATTGCGATATCGATATTACTCACGATAAATGAACAAATACTAAAGTATGCAGCGTTGATGTTGTCTGGCGTGTGACGTCTGCTCTGGGTTCAAAGCAAACAAAAACTAATGCATGAATCCCATTACAACATAACATTTTTATTGCAAAAATATGCAGCTGCACCTGCTACTGTATTAGCAGCAAAACAACAAACTGCATGCATGCAGTTTCTCAGTGACTTTAAAACATCACCTCCACCATAAAACTTTCTGATGCTCCAAATGCAGAAAAACATCCCTTACCAGGGTTTTTTGAATAAATAAAATCTGACAATAAGTTTAAATGTTAAATAATAGTTAACATCACTCAAATGCAACAGCAAATTCTCTCATTGCTACTGAGCATTTTCTCCACTTATGTGGTTATGATATAAGGCTGTTGCTGCTATTGGGAAGTGAACTGTGCTGGGCCAAACTAGGAGAATATTAAGATTTTCTGAGGGAAAGAGAAAAACAATTCTCTACCTTTCAGAAAAGGAACTGGCAAAAAACTACATGGAAAATATGTGAAAACGTTTGTTTTTAACCCCAAACTGAACAAGTTTATCTGGATCTTAAAAAGCAGCTCAGATGATGAAACTGCAACTATGATTCTGATAACAAGCTAACAAATTGAACTAGCTCCTCTTAAGATAACCAGCTAGCAGAGCTTCTGACAGTTTATGTGCAGCAGCAAATCAACTATCCTGATTAACAAGGTTATAAACGCTCATAAAGGAAAAATCACTTTGATGTGTGGGGGAACTTTTCCAGGCCCTCTTTAGCAGGGTGGGACTGGGAGGAGAGTGCTGTAGCCTTTTAGCTGGAAGCTAACCGCAGCCTGGGGCTAACATCAGCACCCGGTGGAAAACTAGCGACATTAACGTGGGTTGGTTCACCGGCACGTGTCACAGTCAGCCCGGTAAAAATGATTAACAACACCGAGCGGACTCACGTTTGAAAGCAGCGCTGATTCCAGAAACCTCAGCACAAAGTGCGTTCGTTGCTCTGAGCCAGCATGACAAACAAGGGAATGGCGCCGCTAACTCAGTTCGGGTGTGTTGCTTTCCATTCTAAGTGTCTACGTAGGGGGCGGGCGTATTACATGAACACACCCATCTGATTGGCTGCATATCAGAAGGGCTACATTTGATTGGTCAAATAATACTTCCACGTAAAAAACAGAGCTGGTTTACAAAAAGTTGATGTACACTGTAACATGGATGGAAATGTTCGAACCAAACATTTATCGCCATTTTTGACATGCTTTGCGATGGGCCTATCGCACTTCCTGGTATCCCGATGACGATAATTTTTTGATATATTGTGCAACCCTAATTAACATTTATAACAATATCCTTTTTAGAATTAAATGGGAAGTTCACTGAGAAGCATTTGCGTTCTTTAACGTTTGCTGAACGTGAAACTGGTCTTCTACCCCTATTTCTGGCATTAGCTGGTGAATGGACATAGACAAGAAAACTCTCCGGTCAGCCCTCTGTCACATTGTAAATTAGCATTCATGGACTCACCCATCTTGACTCATGACGGGAAAGGCTGTTGTTGATTAGTATCCAGGAGAGAGCAGAGCATGTGTGGGCTAGTGAAAGCTAACTGTTAGCATTAGTAACTTCATAACATGGCAGAACTCCTTCAGGCTGGTGTTATTTATGGAAATAAAACATCAACATTGCAGAGGGAACTGAGGCAGTAGAAGAGTCGCATTGCTATTAGCCAGTCAGCTAGATATTTGAATATCATGAATATTAATGAGTATGACTCTAAATTCTTCCCGTTTTCTGGCCCCCACTCCTCCGACAGACTTCTACTTCCTGAAACAGAAGCACAAGAGTTTTTTTATCCACAGAGAACAACTCAGAAAATATTCATTCACACTAGAAACCACAGCAGAATATTTGAAATGAGCATATGTCCACTTGTGTTTTTTTATTGTGGACAAAAAAATGAATACAATAAGTGATAAGTTGTAGGTCTCCATGTGCTGTAATATGTAGAAAAAACTAGATATGGGTGTGGTTAAAAAACATTCATGCATTATGCTCAAAATTAGGCCATATGTTTGATACAATCTGCAACACAGCTGCATGTTTAACATGAAGGAAAACCATTGCTTTAAATTAATGGTTACGTATCTGGCTGTAAAGAGTAAGAATGTTTGTACTTTTCATGCATTCATCAGTCTGTTACACAGGTAGGCTTCTGGTATTTAGAGCTCACTTCTATGCCAAACCTATGAATAAAACATGACGTCTTTGAAAATCAGTTAAAAAAGATAACCGTAACCTAAGATGTAACACCCCCAGTTTTATCAAGGGGATTCCTTTGTTTTAATACTTTCAAATAGTTGCACCATGTCTTATGAAATATTGCTTTCAAGGTGGTTTAACAAATGCATTACAGATGTTCAACAGCTGACTGACAGCCAGATGAAAAAGAACAAATTCACTCTGATGTCCGTAGGTTGCATATGAAGCTGGAGCCAAAAGGATATTGGCTTAGCTGGAAGGAAACAAACCTGCAAGGAGGAGGGAAACATCACCTTCACTCTGTTAGAACAGCAATAATACACAGTCACGTCAATGTTATGATCTACAACTTTTACTGAAGAGCCAATTTAGAAAGAATAAGAAATATTTAGTTTTGAGAAGAGAAAGTTATTTTGTTTCTTTTTTGTCCAACAGGAAAGTGACAGTTTGTGGTGGGATGCCTTCGCTACTGAGTTTTTTGAGGAAGACGCCACCCTTACGCTGTCCTTCTGCCTCGAAGATGGACCAAAAAGATACAGTAAGTCGATGAAAAATTTCTTTAGCAATTTTTGTTG